ACTCAGGAATTTGAACTTTCGGCGGCCGAGTCGAAGGAAGTTATGGATTCCCGGTCAAACACACACATACAAACAAACTTAGCTAATTATGTATAGTAGGATTTAAGCCACGCTCCTACTGTAACCTTGGAAAACTAGGGTCAGGCGTCGCAGCAACTGTAAAGAGTCATTCCCAAAATATTACATAGTGGGAGGAACGTGAGCACTATTGGTAAGTAACAGAACGTCAACACAGCATAAGAGACTACAGAAGAAGGGATTCGCTAAATTCACAGCGAGGGTCGCAGCATCAGCACGACGTTCAAGTGATATAGCGTAATACATGAAAAAAGATATGCGCGGCAAGGTGGCACTTGCCCGATGAAGTCGGATTGCAGAAGGAGGCGCGCCGGCGTCAGCTCGCGAGCCGACTGGTATATAGTAGGGTGCAAGAAATCGCTGGAAATTTGTAGAATAGGTCGTTCCTCTGTCGATGGTTGCTCACTAGATAGCTCTACGTCAGCGATCATGGCACTGATCATGACACATTGTAGGATGAGGATCTCCACGGAAGGAAGTGGAGTATTTAGTTGCTGGCTAGGAGGTAGTCTTATTTGAAACGGGTAAAGTTCATCTGAAAGTTTACTTTTTCCGTTTCACCGCCCCAAGTGCAGCGTACACCCCCATCTGGTCGGCGGTTCGGAAAACTATATGTTGGACGAGTGTCTCTACCTCCTCCCCTTCCAGCGCCAGACCTTTGAACAATGTTAGGCAGCGTTCAGACTTGTAGCGCTACAGCGTCGCGCTACAGTGTAGCGCTACAGTTGTACCGAACTCCAGCTTTTATGTTTTTTCTTTCTGTATTCAACCTCTTCTCTTTGTTTCTCATATTTATCTGATAGTGAGCTCCTGTTTTCTACTTTATCACATTTTAATGTAGTTTTTGATACAGAAGACTGTGATAATTGGTTTTATTTATCGTTTTTGACTTTAATTATTTGGTTTCAGAGTTGCTATTGATGTTTGATGGCTTTGCTTGATGTCTTGCAGTGGTGCCTCATGTTTTTGGCATCCACGTACAGATGGCAAGCCAACACACAGTCTTCTGTATCAAAAACTACATTAAAATGTGATAAAGTAGAAAACAGGAGCTCACTATCAGATAAATATGAGAAACAAAGAGAAGAGGGTTGAATACAGAAAGAAAAAACATAAAAGCTGGAGTTCGGTACAACTGTAGCGCGACGCTGTAGCGCTACGCTGGAGCGCTACAAGTCTGAACGCCGCGTAGTAAGATGACTTGTCGATCGTGCGAAGGGGCCGTGCCGGAGGAGAAACTATGGCGGGGGAGCGTCGTATTCAGCAAAATTACCCTGCCCAAGTTAGGACACGCCCTGATGCAATAATCGCTTCGAATGAGTTTCAGTTCCTTTTTGAAACCATCTCGGCCTGCAAGATGGACACACAGAGATGACGCACACTACACACACTTCAGGCTTCCTAGAGATGTGATGCCGTGTGAGTATTTTTGAAGACGGTCTTAAACTTTAATTTGAGTATCCAGGTTCCTTCGACATCTGCAGTACTGCGAATTTCTGAACAGATGCACCATCTTATTAGGCTGTCGCATAGTCCTTATCAGTATGAGTACCTCATTAAAAATAGGTATGTGACGGAGCCATAATACCTATTTTTAATGAGGCGTCACGCGTCACGGCCGCGCGGCGTCACGCGCGACAATCACGATACCGTATGGTTACGATCGGCGTGTTTGCGATGGTTGGTGTCGCAGCAGTGACGTTTTGCTGCTACTTTTTTAAAAGGTGTCATACGTTAAAGAAATCTTCGAGGTTATGCTATACAGAAAGCATTGCGACTTTCAAATGATTAGGTATCAGCAGGTGAGCAAGTTAAGTCGCAAGCAGAATTTGTGCAGATTTCTCTGCACCACAGTTGTCCTGCATATAAAGCAAAAATCCGACGGTCATGGCAGTACGTCCGACCAGAGTGAAGAGCGAGGCTTAAATCTTAAAAGAACACAATCTAATTCAATAATGCAGTAGTTTGTCGCGAGCGCTATGTCGTAGTTCGGGGAGCGGCCTGCCCACCAGCTCTCCACCACGACTAATCGGTGATTCATCCCGGGGACTACACGCTCCCCCACATGGTGTAGCCACCGCTCCCTGAAGAACTATCGGGCCTCCATCCGTGGTAGACTGCGGGGACGGCAATCCTGCTGGTATATCCCCTTGGTTGTCCGGCCTTCCCCTGCACGTCCTAGACCTGAATCGGTCAGAACAGCCTGCGGAACGAGTCCTTAACCTCCATAACCATAACCATAACAACGAATACCATACAGCATTTAATAACCTGATCGACAGCTCTTAAAGCCTAACCAGCATTCGTTGAGCCCATTTGTCCGGGCGCTCTCAAGTCCAGCATATTGCAACCAAACTACATTATGCACTACATATCCGTTGACTTATGTGCCTGGTGGTGACTCCTATCTTCACTGCTGCCGTAGCTGGAGACCATGCGTGCTCCGTCGTCCAGCGGTCCTAGCGGTAACCGCACCATACTGCTACAATCTGCAACTCGCAACCGACCTTGCCGTCGAGTGTAACGACCACCGTCGTGACCGGGTGGTAAGACGGAGAAGTGCATTGGCGGTTTCCCTACCCGACCACGCAGAACGTGGGTATCAGGAGGACCCACAACCCTCTTGGAAGTTGTGTCGCGCGATAAGAATGCTCAAAATGGGCGAATGCTTGTGGCCCGCCACGGGCGTATTGTGCCTAAGCCCCCCCCCCCAATACCTATTATATGACTACGCTACGATTGTGGGATATAAGAGAAAGCTATTAATGATGCGAGCGATCGTTAAGTGTCATTGCTAAAGAACAGGATAACTGCTTGACTAATGATTCATGTAAACTACACTATTAGTGAGATGATTACGAAATAAAGCAGTGCATGGTAAATACTATTACAACAATACGAGAAGTATGAGAACAAGATAAGGAGAGCTAAGGCATGATCAACAGATAGGACAACTAATCGGGCAAGATATGCGACATGGAAGCGTATCGGTCCATTCGGCCGGTGATGAGACGACCGAGGAGAGCGACTGTTCAGTAGGATGACATATCGACGACTGGCTGGGCGCGCGCTCTGAGTGTAGAGAAGCAGGGTAGCTTCCCGCGCTTCCAGCTTCTTCCATCTTTCAAACTGGCGGCTACAGTAAGATGACGACTGGAGCATGATATTATTGAGGCGCATACGCTTCCAGGTCGTACGTAAGTCACGACAGCCACGGGCCACACCTAGTTCTTCACCAGATGGAGCAGTGCTCACGACCCCACTGGTGCGGAGGAAACGCAAGGCCTGCTCCCAGAAGTAGAGAACGCCCGCAACCCTCATGAGCTGCACTGGAGACGGGCCCTCAACGCGAGCTCAGCTACGTCACGGTTGAGCCGTGTAGCACGACAGAGCCCAGGCGCACGGCGGTCCGGCAACCATAGTCGCGAACTGCAACATGCTGCATTGCAAGCCCATGGTGTTCGCAGATTGCAGCGCACGCGAAGTCGCGGTATCCTAGTGATCGTCTTCCCATATGTCAAGGCTGCTGCGCAGCCTCACTCGGAGCCAGTAATGTTTTAGGGTGTTCTCTGAGCATGTAAAAATTGTTAGAAACCTTATGTGGGCCAACATTCCGGAGAGCCTATAAATCGAAACTTTTCCTTAGCAAGAAGCCACAGTTTCAAATTCATGTCACATGCCGTGAAATCACCATCCTTTTGAGGTGATGCATTTCCAGTGAGCACCCCAGGTTCATGGGCAAAGTGTTCACTCACCTCCGATGACAGTCTTTTCCATGTTCGAAGTGAATGGGTCCGCAACTACAGCAGCGGTAAAAATGCACGGGAGCTGTGCTAGAGGGTAGTGATATTTGGGTATCGTTCTGGAGTTTGCCCCCGAAAGGTAATGTGCAGTATTTGCGTCGATTCTGAAATCTGCTACGAGACACGCACTCAGCAGCGGCAGAAACAGGCAGAACTGAAGGGGTGTGGACGAATGGTGCGTTCGGCTATCAATACGGGTGAGACTGGTCCTGCGACAGTGCTGGCGGAGTATGAGGACAGCACTATGCTCCAGCCTGTTCCTGTGCGCTTTTAGCGGGGAATGTAGCGCGCTAATGCAGCTGTAGACTCACTCACCCCATAAGTGGCAAAGATCGTTCTCGGAGGCGGCTGTACACTACTTCTTTGAGAGCTGGAAGATGGTTTGCCCTTTTGAGCCAGTTTGGCGTCGATCGACACTTGCCGCCGCGACGTTGGGAGTGTGTAGAAGAATGGGGGAGTACGAGATTGTGTGAAGGCAGCGCTGCCCTTGTTATTCCACACTCTCAAAATTGATGTGGGCGAGGCCGGTCGATTCCCCGTCTGGGGCCGGGTTCGGGTCTACAACAGTGAATCACCATTGCAAATGTGTCACGTCGACGCGCGTTGCAAAGTCTAGACACTGCCTTGGATTCGGTATGTTAGCGGGGAGGGGGTGTTCCGATGAGGATGTGGAGCTTTTTCCACTCTGATAATCTGATTCTCTGGTTCCTGCTAACCTACACGTCTTACCCTAGGTCAGGTGTAAACGAAGTTCGCGATGTTGGATAGCTTTACAAAGTTCACAGGTCTCCAGAGAAGGCAGAAGCCGTTGTCAACAATCAATAGAAACAGCAGAATGCCCCCATTAAGCCGAATACCGCCATTTATGTGGATCTTTCAGTGATGTATGATCTGACCATCAAGACATATCTACCTACATACGCTGACGTTCCGCAACACAAAGAATTGACATTTGAGGGAACGGTACATATAGTTGTAGAGGTGCTCTCTCCTGTTGATCACGTTGTTCTCCACATGAATGAGATCACATTAATTGAGGATGAATGTAAAATATTGTTGGTGAGTTGGCATTAGATGATGAGAGAGAGAGAGTCCTAGAAAGGCAAACTTCTATTCAGAATGGAAGGAATATTCCCCATCATAAAAATTGTGGTCAACAAGAAAATGGAAGTGGTGGTATTCCATTTGAAAGAGAAGATTGGTAGAGATGAACATCTGAAACTTGAAGTAAGCACAATCAATTTAATTCGGGTTTCGGTTCCGAAGGCACGTGCCATGCCCACACGAAGTGCGGACGCCTTTTGTCATGGTATGCCGGGCTGCAATCATAGGGGATGTACAACCAAGGCACGCCATCGGTGTGGCAATTACAAGGGGGAGGGGGCGTATTTGATCACGAGGGAGTGGGCCGTAAAGCTTGAGAAAATTTTTTTGATAATTGATATCTCTTGTTTCACGGATGCTATAAAGGAAGAGGGTTTGTATTTGGTCGTTTTTGGGAAAGAGGGGTCCTATCTGTTTTCGCGGCGTTGGGAAGAACTTTTCCCGGCTGTTGGCCTTTTGTTCCCGTTTCCCCCTCCCGCCGCTCGACAGCGAAACTTTGGGGAAAAAAAGTTTTCTGGAAAAACTGGAAGGAAGGTAGGACAGAGAGGGGATCGTATTTCTCAGGAATTTATCACAACGCGATGGTGTGCCCACTGTACCACGTTCTCGGCACAGAAGTTCTTGATAAGAGGGCTACGCCGGTCGTGATGGAGGCCGCATCCCGCCCACTGCACACATTACGTCCAGTTTCATTCCCATCGATATGGTGGTAGGCGGTCCTCCCGCAACTCTTTCCTTCCTAACTGGCAATAAAGAAATGATAGGGGAAATGAGCTAATACCGTTAGGACACTACCGAGTAAGAACTCGTCCAATCCCGCACTTTCTTCGCTTTATACTCGCTTTATGCTGTCATGGAGGCCTGTCACCTGCAGCTGAGTGTCCGTGTTCCGCTTAGCCCTCATAAGCGAGCAGTCCCCAGTGGCACCACGTGAAGGAAGGGGCATCACCGCTTCTAGTCCTACTTTTCTATTTATGACTGATCTTTGTGGCCGAACTAGTGAAGGGATCCACTGCATACGGCTTTATAACGATCTGTGTTCTCTATTATTAGACTTTTTTCACTATTATTAGACTTTTTTCAAAGTTACACTTTAGCTCTCCTATACTGGGACTATTGGCAGCCATAGGTTAAACGGTCTGTACAGGACAATTTATACGGACAAAGATGGTAATCAAAAGTAAGTTCAATTTTTCGGCATGAAACAACACTATGACATAAAACTTCAGCATTATGTGACAAATGTCACAAAAAGGCACTTTCCATACCGATCATATGGGCGGAGACAGCGAACTGTTATGTTTTCCGCTATTGAAGCTGAACATTAATGAAGAAGGCACAATGGTGCTCCATCTCTCCCATACAGTCAGCGAGGACTGCACCTACAAATACTGTTGGGAGCAGTTTCTATGACAAGGGAACTTTAGCCGTAATTCAGTGGGTGGGATGTTATTTTGGACCACCACCACTGGCTCTTACCAGGAGGATGGACTGGCCACCGCTTAAACTGCTGCTAAACGTCTTTATTCCGAATCCACTCCGATTTCGGAGCGTTGTCCTCTGCTTCTTTTACTCTACGGAATTTTTGCCAAGTGGTACGCGTCTCATGCTATCGTCCATATCAGTTAGCGGAAAGGGGCGTTCAAGCGATGCCTGTGTATTACCATGCCGGCTCTCTTCCCTTATTCTGCCGCTCTTTCGTCCAAAAATATGCTGTTAACGCGGCCTCGCCCCTTGTTGCCCTTAGTTATGTGCTGTACATGCTGTACATAATCCATTTTGACAAAACTCTAGTGAAACAGATAAGCATAGGGAGGATGAACATCTTTTTTTCCCCCTTTCGCTTCCCTCCACTCCGAAGGAAAGTCGTCGGAGGCCTGACGACCCTTACGGCTTGAATCATCCATTTCCTCTCCCCTCCCCCGACCGCGATTCTTATCCAATTCTAGATTGTTTTCTAAGATTGTTTTCTGAATCGAACCCTTACATTAACCATTGTGGATTCCTGGTCTTTGTCATGTGCGAGAATAATGGGCCTGCAGCTGCAGCAGCGTGTCACTTCCTGCCCTTAAATGTGCACGGGACGAGGCTGGAGGGTACTTAGCGACTATGGAGAATCAGCGTCGGAGCTCTCAGCGCTTTGAGTGAAATAGGAACTGTAGGTATCGATCGGTGCTCAAATCGCCTATTCGCTCTAAACGCCTTTTTTCCCCAGAACGTCAACGACTGGCGTCGATCGATACCCTTACATTCCTTTCAGCTCAAAAAAAGCGATTCTCTCGACACGCCAGATCGATACCCATAAATCGACACCTAAACTTTCCTTTTTACGTGTTGGCTCGTGGAGCCGATTCTCTTGAAACGTCAGTTTTCCCAAGTCGCGAAGTATGAACGCAGCAGTAGGGGCACCGGGTGCCATCTCCATCTCTGCCTGCTCTGCTCGACGCGCAGCCACAGCCTAGCCATAGTCGAACGCGCTTCTTGTCTGCGCACTGTCACTTCTGGTCAAAGTCGAGTCACGTGAGTCCACTCCCTGGGCTTCGGAGCACACAGTAGGGTTGAAGAAGAAAGGCGATCTCCATATCGTTGCGCAAGATTATAAGTTTAAGAAAATAGGAGAGACACAGTATTCCTGGAAATGCGCGTAAAGTCAAACGTGTGGGCTTTGTGGATGCACACTATAGGGCATATTCTTCGTAGTTTACCATATAAAACCAGCTGGATATCCTTATTCATCCATTATATTTAGAGTCGCCGCTGTTACCCAGTTCGAACCGACCCATGCTCGTTTGATGGTGCCATGTTTCGATGAGCCGGCATTCAAAGCACAATGGACGGTTACTGTAATTCATCCGGCAGGAACCACAGCTCTGTCCAATGGAAAAGAGAGAAGTAGCGTAAGGTAATAACCATAAGATTTGATTGCACTCTGGGAGTCGGACGTGAGATCAAAGTCGAATTTCATATTTTAATAAACAAGGTCACTTTTGCCTTAGAAGTAGTATATTCCGCGATGACCGGATAGGCCAGAATCGCTTGAAGGAACACGACCATTGTTTCTTCTTCACTGGCCGCCGTTCCTCATTAGATAGAAGGCGAACCAATGAGAGATGCAAATGTCCGTGATTCTCCGCCCCTTCTATTACTGTGGAAGTGTGTTCATGTGAATGTCTAGGTAAACCGTTATAGTGAATCTGGCAGTGCTTGGGTGTGGACGACATTTGAAACAACTCCAAAAATGTCGACATATCTTCTTGCCATTGCTGTTGGCGAATTTGAATATATCCAAGGGTATACCAAGGAGGGAGTAAGAGTACGTGTTTTCCTCCGTTCTTCTGTTTCTCTTCTTGTAGACGTTACTTTTACATCTCATTTTTTTCAGTTCCGAGTGTGGTCACGTCCAGAAGCGATTAATATGACGCAATTTGCGCTAAAAGTCGGCGTCCAATGTCTGCAGTTTTACGAGGAATACTTCGATATCAAATTTCCACTACAAAAACAGGGTAGGGTGCGCTAATTTCACAACTCAGGATAAGAGCCTATCATATACACGAGCCCTGAGAAGGGAAGGACCTTGTCTCCATAGCTCGTCCCATATCTTGCTTAACTGCGGGAGCTGAAGGCACAATGTCAAATTATCCTGGACCGTCCTTATAAGTATGTTCTTATAGCCAAGTAGGAGGTGCGCGCTTATGTTTTGCATAGTGGGGAAGACAGCGCTGGAGCTGGTATCGGAGGTGCCCTTCTACCTAGAGAGCGAGTTCCGTCCCCCTCTTCCGCAACGGCTGAACTTTCCGCACAGAAGAGGAGATGATAAAGATCCCAATGGTGAAAGGGATGTGATAGGGAAGGAGAAGTGGCGTCTCATAGATATCGCCAGGTAAAAATTGGTTCACAAACCTACACCCTCTTTCGGCACTCTTTCTCGCTAAAATGCTCGGAGGTGAAGTCGTCTTATTAAAAGGCGTCTCCTGTTTTTTTCTTTCATTGCATACGCACATTAACAGCTCCTGCTCTTTGCACAGGGTAGATCATCGGATGTGGCCATGGCGGTGTCAGTACGACCACCACACCTCCCGTCCGGAAAAGGATCGTGAATGACGCTTCTACTCACAGACCCTTTTCCCAGGACTCTCGATTGTCTTGCTCTGGCAACGAAATTAGCTACGTTAACGACTCGCAAGAGCTTGTGCGCGTTGTAATTCTATGGCAATTAGCGGCGCAAAGCAGCATCATTTGGTCATCATTCAAGTCACAGCGCCGTTTTCTAGAATGTGTAGGCATTTTTAGGCGCGGGACTTTTGTAGATATGCGGGCCGGCATGATGAAGCAACTGTCTACACCGTTGCGTCTTCTATTCTACTCGTAATCTGAACCTTCCCTAGTTTGTAAATATTCCCTGCGGTGCTGACGAACGCGTTTGGTGTTGCATTCCGCGAAGGCGTGGTTTTATGCTTGCAGACGATGAATTGTAATCCTTTCAAAACGCGATCCCTTTGCAAAAGCTAAAAAGCCATTGAGGCCGCCGATTTTCACTCTTATCCAACGAGCTCATGTTTTTGAGAACCGCTAGTTCAGAGGCCTATATATTTTAGATTGCCTCACACCTTAGCGCGTCGACGTTATAAACTTGTTCCAACCTATCAAGAATGTGCCCTGCATTTCGCTTTCTACGCAGAGGTGATAGAAAGGTGGGAGCTGATTTTAGATGGCTTTTTCTATGCAAGTAGACGCCTTGTTTTAGGGTATGGTAAGCGTCAATGACGCACCTATCTGGCTTCAGATGTAATTATTTAGTCATCTACGTACTTACGAGCTTCATTGCTAACTGTTGATAGTCCTAATGTTTTAATATTTTGTAGTCTTCCTTACATCCAGATCTGCTGCAGCTCTCCGTCCGCACCATCAAACTTAGCGATGACCCTTTTGTACTTTTTGGTGCGCTCACTGACTTGCTGTGATCCCTCCCCCTCTCCAGCGGCCAAGCACGACCATCGATGTCGCCTGAGAGCGACCCATCTGAAATATCTTCTAGTCTAGTCTTCGGGAACAATGTAGCTCGTTGGAAAGAGGAAATATTGGGCGACCTGACGGCTTTTCAGTTTTGCAGAGGATCACTCCCACCAAAAAAAAAACCTAGACAAACATCCGCTTGCATGGCAAAATCATCTGAAATCAGAAGTTACACCTTTCCACCACCTCTGCGTAGGAGCGTAATGCACGGCGCACACTCGGACCAAGTCGATTGATGATAACCAGTGGTTTGACCCAGTTCAACGGATATTATGATTCGGATGCATATTGAAGTCCCGAATGAGTATCCTTACAATGGCACAGAAGGAGTCGAGCTTTTGAGTGGCTCAGAATGTCGCCCAAGGGTGACCCATCTAAATATCTTCTAAACTAGCGGGTCTTCAGAAAAACTGTAGAGCTTACTGGGAAAGAAAATAATGGGCATCCTGATGCCTTTTTAATTTTGCGAAAGTTTGCGTTTGGAAGTAGTTATTTTGCAGTTCACCACCAACGCGTCCGTAACACACCCGAAATATTTCACGAACGGGTGGAAGATTCAGATCGCAAGTAGGTAGAAGACGCAACAGTAGAGACATTGCTCCAGCGAGCCGCCTTCAGCTCCTCAAGCCCCGCGTCTAAAAGCCATCACCCCAGAAGTATCCCTGCGACTTCCACCCGGCCAACAGATCTGCTCCACCGCTAATTTGCCATGGAATCATAACGCGGCCACAAGCGCTTGCGAGTCGTTACGTATCTAATCCTTCTCGTCAGAGCAAACAATTAGAGTCTGGAAAGGGGGAGTGTACCAGGATCCTTTTTCGGGAGAGGGGTGGGGGTCGTACTGATACCGCCATTTCACGTATCACGATGCTGTACCCTGAGAGGGAGTCGTATATGGTCGATGCTGCTACCTCTGCCCTGCTCCGAACAGTCATCAATTGTTTAAAAATCGTTGCATCTTATAGACATGCTTGCATTGCCCGACTTCGCAGCTGGTGCAATGGAAAATTGGGGACTGGTAACCTACAGGTACGTAGTATCAGGTTGGCGGGAAAGTTCTGTCATACTTTTTGAGCCCAAAATACTTGCCTATTACCTGAAGAGAGGTAACCGGTAATGTGAGCAGTTATACATCAAGGAATGGTCTTTCTATTAGTATCACTGGCTTGACTCCTGCTTCTCCTTATTCTGCAATATGGACAAGAATGTTATCCG